CTTCTCTCTCTCTCTCTCTCTCTCCCCCTCTCTCTCTCACAGGCTCGACCGACGTTTCCTTCTCCCCCTCTCCCTCTCTCTCCCTCTTGTTTCTCTCTTCCTCTATCCCTCTCTCCCTCCCTCCGATTCGAACCGGCAGCCTGGCCACTGGTTCCCACTCTCTCTCTCTCTCTCGTCCTCTATCTCTTCCTCTCCCCTTCCCTCTGGCTCGAACCGGCAGCCAGTTCCCACTCTCTTTCTCTCTCCCTCTCTCACTTTTTCTTTTTCTCTCCCTCCTATCTTCTCTCACTCCCTCTCTCTCTCCCTCTATCTTTCTTCTCTCTCATTCTTGGCCTCTCCCCCATTCTTTGCCTCTCTCTCATCATCTCTACTCTTTCTCTCTTTCTTCCTCTGTCTCTCTCGATCCCTCTCTCCCTCTCTCTTTCTTCTCTCTCATTCTCGGTCTCTCTCTCCCTCTCTCTTTCTTTTCTCTCATTCTCGACCTCTCTCTCTCGATTTCTCTTTCTGCCTCTCTGTTGCTCCCTCTCTCTCTCTCTCTTTCTTCCACTCTCTCTCTCTTTTGCTCTTGCTCTCTCTTATCTCTACTCTCTCTTTTGCTCTCACTCTCACTCACTTTTGGTATCTCTCTCATTCTTGCTTTCTCTCATCTCTACTCTCTCTTTCTTCCTTATGCTCTCTCTCTTCTCTCCCTCTTTCTCTCTCGCACTCTCTTTCTTGCTCGCTCTTCTCATTTTCGATCCCCTATTCTCCCTCTCGCTCTTGCTTGTCCTCTCTCCTCTCTCTCGCTCTCTCTCTTTCCCTCTCTCGGTCTCTCTTTCTTCTCTCTCAAATTCTCCCTCTCTTTCTAAATCTCTCTTTCAAAGTTCTCTCTCATCTCTCTCTCTTTCTCCCTCATTTTCTATCTCTCTTCTTCCTTTGCGTCTATCTCTTTATCTCTCAAACCCCCAAAGCTGTTTTTCTTTCTTGTTCGTAATATCCCTCCATATTCTTAAAGAAAATCTTTTCTCTTTCTTCTTCTCTTACAAAACTTTTGTCTTTTACCTTCTTTTTCATCAAATTACTTGTTAGGAGGCTATGCTGAGTTTCGTCTGGTTCGGGTCTGTATCACGGTTCAGTTCCTTAACTATCCTCTGGGGTATTCAGGCTTTGGTTTGGTACCTTTTTGCCTCTAGTAATGCCTCCTAGGGGAGGTGCCGTCGGCATGGTGTCTGATTGGCAAGTGGTCTTCTCTCCCTTTTTTCTGCCTTCTTCTCTTCATTTTTCCATCTCATCTTCTTCATCTTAATCCCCCCCCGCTCCGGAATATTCTTAAATGCATCTTTCTAAAAACAAGTCAGGGTCTTTTAACCCGTGTCTTGTCATCTTACGCATGTGTATTTATAAGACTCAGAGTAGAGCAAGGGAGCCAAAGCTGGACCGAGCCACAGGAAAAGGGGGCTTTCCATTGTGATCTAAGAGGGCGGCCCACACACCCGGGTGCCACGAACCTACCGTGAGGTAGGTCACGCCTCACACCCCCTAATTCTCTCTCTTTAGTTGGTCCCTACCCACAAATGCATGAACACCACACACATTGCAGTTTCCAAGAGAGCGATCTTAGGCCGGGCCCCACCTTCGGGTCCCTGCTTACAAAACCGACGAGATTAAGGCGCAACCACCGAGTCTAATTGCGGTGGTCTAATGCTCATCTAAGACCTTGACAATATAGCTCTAGTTATGAGGTAACTTTCAGCATGTTAGAGAGTGACACTGCAAAATGTAAATTTTGTCCTGATTTGCTTTATCTTTATCGGATTGGGATGAAACTTGGCAAACACTCTTAAAACATCCAATGTCACCCTTTCATGCCTTTTGGGGTCAGGGGGACACCTTTTCAAAATTGCTCAAAAGTCAGGCTTATTGGTGCGGGCTTCTGTAGTCCACAGGTGTGATTGGTACTTCCGGTCCGAAGCAAGAAAGAGTGCTGGGGTACGGACTGGTACCTATGGGCCTAGGTTGTGACCGCCGCTTCTATTATTCGACCCGGGGTTTTAGTGCGTCAAAAATACGCTCAAACACTTACTCCCTAGGAGGCATTTGTCACCCTAGGAAGGCCTATAGGAAAGGATACTTTGAAGAGGGTTAATGTGTGGATGGGGGTGGCAATGCCACTAGTGGTGATGACAATGAAGCTTAAGATGGTGTTATTTGAGTAATACACAAAGAGAACTTTTGAATTTTTTTTTTTGTAAGTCATGGATTTGTGAAAGTCCCTCATATGTATTGTAGGCTTGGACACAGTGTTCAAAAAATCGACTTGGCCAAGGTAGTCGGCCCTTGGCCGAGCTGAGTTACTCAGGTTAGTCTGAGTAACTCGCCCTAGTATAGTTCGAGTTTAAAAAAATTAAAATAAGATAAAAATGATAGTATATATAATATAGCCTTCATTCTTAGAACACTGGACGTTAAATGACGTGATGGTTATGTTGTGTGCTCTTGCGTGCCCCTTTGTGATAGGTCTTGTGTTCAAATCCATTGCTCCCCCTTTTTTTAACTCCTATTTTCTCTTAAAAAAAGAAAAACGAGAAAGGTGTTTGGTGGGGAGAATCAAACCCTAATCGCAATGGATCATGGGCATGCACACTAGTGTGCCATTCCAACTTTCAAAGCAAGATTCGGCACCTTATTATATATAACTATTAAAAATGAGTTTTCTCTTAAAAAAAAAAAATGAAAAGGCTTAATCGGGTTTAAAAAGGTCAATGCCTGTTGGGGAGAATCGAAGAGCCACTGCGATGGACTGTGAACGGCACACTATCCAGTGTGCCATGCAAACTTTCAAAGCAAGATTTGGCATCTTATTATATATAACTATTAAAAGCATGTGTATAGTGTATTCAGCCTAAACTCGCCTCGCCCATTGGGCGAGGCCGAGTAACTCAGCCGAGTCCAAGTGACCTCGGCCGAGTCTCAAAACACTGCTTGGACATCTAGATTCTTACCTACTTCTTTTATTCGCCATTGATATTTCGTAATTTGAGTTTGAATGCTTGTTATTCACTTAAATGATTGCATTTTGAGGATAAATTTCACAATTTGAATGTTTTCATTATCTTTGAATTTCCTACTTTTTCCTTTTTATATACTTGTTTTTATATGTTCCAATGTAATGTGGATGTGTTCGTCTTATTGTGTTGGATCATAACTGATATAATTAGGTTTTTTTAAATTTTTTATTTGTATTATTTTCAAGAAATTGAAATTTAGGTTTTATTGTTATTTTGAGTTTCTAGTTTTCGTTAAGAGTTATTTTGAGAAGAAAGAATTTGTTTGTCGATCTTGTTAGGAGATCTTTAGGGTGAACTTCCTTGTAGACCTTGAGAGAGGGTATAATATCTCGCTAATTATTTTTTTACTTTTAACTTATTTATTTTGTTCCCTCTTATTCCATGTTCTATCTGCATCAAGTGGTATAAGAGCTTCGAAGATCCATCCATCAAACCCACTCATGCGATCGATGATATATTGCTTCAAATCATGGAAGGTGTGAAACAACAATTTAAAGAGAGCATAAAGAACATAAACAAATCCATGGAAAGCATTTGAATGGAGATCCACGAACTTTGAGGAGCTATCACTGAGAATAGCTATCACCGAGAAGAAGGTACTATCAATCTCGTAGATCCAATACCAAATCTCACCCAAGGGGGAAATCGAAATTGACCACATATTCCAATGGTTGATCCCATACGTAATAAACAAATTTCGAGGCAAGAATCACGACTTGAAGAAGGTCCACATGATATCGGTATCAAGCTCGATCTTCTTGAGTTTGATGAGGAGCTTGAAGAAACTAAGATTTTATTTTGCATTCTAGAGTTCCACTATATGTCGCTGTTTAAATGTTTAATTAATAGATTCATCGAAGAAAATGTACCAAGGAGAATGGTAGAACTTCATCACCAGCTTTGGAGGAGACGTTTAAAGGATATGATGAATTCAACAAGGTCAAGTTAGAGCTTCTCCCAAACCCAGGAGAGTGGTGTAATTAGGGTTTTTAATTTTTTATTTTATTGTATTTAGGAAATTGAAATTTAGGTTTAAGGTTATTTTGGGTGTTTAGTTCTTTTAAATTTGGAGAAGAAGGAATTTGTTTGTGGATCTTGCAAAGAATTCTTTGGGTTGGACTCCCTTGTAGAACCTTAGAGAGGGTATAATCTCTCACTAGTTATTTTTATTTTAAATTTATTTATTATCTTCCCTTTTATCCCTATTCCATCTGCATCAATAACTTAAGTGAAGTTAACGACATTGCCTTGAACATCATGTTCTTCACTAGTTTGACTTTGTTTACTGTAAGCATATATTCTTTACATTTGTCTTGTGGATGACTTTGATGATTTCACTTTTTGTATAATTAATCTCATCGACTGAAGTTTTTGTTATACAAAGATGGTACATTATGCAGAGGTAGATATTTCGTCTTCTTGTTTGTGTTTGTTTATATGTTTGTTTTTTTTCCTACTGTTCTTGTAATTGCAGGGATGGGTTCTTATCTCTTGGAGACATTGAATGATCGGTACAGCAAAAAACTTGTGCAGACATACAGTGTATTTCCTAACCAAATGGAAACAAGTGATGTTGTGGTCCAGCCATACAACTCCCTTTTGACTCTCAAGAGGCTGACACTGAATGCTGATTGTGTTGTTGTTCTTGACAACACCGCATTGAATAGGATTGCAGTGGAACGTCTTCATCTATCAAATCCCACTTTTGCCCAAACAAATTCCTTGGTTTCCACTGTTATGTCTGCCAGTACAACCACACTTCGCTATCCGGGATATATGAATAACGATTTGGTTGGCTTACTTGCATCCTTAATCCCGACTCCAAGATGTCATTTTCTGATGACAGGCTATACACCATTAACAGTGGAGCGTCAGGTTAGACTTTGATTTTCTTGTGAAACATTTCCAGCTTGTCATGATGTGCGAAATCATGCAATTCATGTTCCAGGTCCTCGATAGATTATTACCTAATATTTGAAATAATGGAGTAGCCACATCTAATGTTTTGTGAATTTTTCTTTTCTGGGGAATTGTTTTTTGTCATGCATTTATTTTATTTCCAGTTAATTGATAAAGATTGCTGAGTGAGGGTTTCAGAGAGTAGTTTTCTCGTTTGCCAATGCATGTATGATTCAAAATTAACCATGCAACAAACATTCTTAAGAAATTTATTGATATCTCCACAGATTGCTTCACATATGAAAGACAAGAACGGATTAGGTGAACCTATCTCTCCATGCTGCCTTTAATAGTTTGCTAGATTTCTAAGCTCAATTTTTTGAGACCTCAGAATTGCGTTTGCTACTTTTCACTTTTCCTCCTTCCCTTGAGCCCAATGAAGTCTCATTTAATGTTTATTAGGGGCCTGAATATCCGTGAGACTTCTCATGCAGGAGTTTGAATATTAGAAGGTTCTGGTGTCTTTGCATTAGTCAATGTCAAGTAATAATTTGGTACTCAGGAATGGGCTCAGGACTAGGTGGTCTGGATGTTGCTGTGTTGGGGCTCTACAACATGACGTCTTGAGTTCCATTCCTGCAATGGGTATGAACCCCCTCTCCGTTGAATTACTAAAAAAAATAATAATAACAATAATAATCTATTACGCTAATTTTTTGTTGATATTGGGCCCTGCGTGGAATTCGTTTTGGATATGGGTTGGAAACGACAGCTGTTGCGTTGAATGGTCCTATTATGCAGTGCCTGCTTGTAATGTCAACTTATAACTTTCATGTTGCATTGTATGTGCAGTTTTTGATGCAGTAAAGTAAGTATGCTTTGCAAGAGGCAACATTATTAAATTGTTATTACACTGTTAACCAGAAGAACTATTAAAATGTCATGGAGCATTATTTGTTTGAAGTTAGATTGCCATGAATCTTGATGGTACTGCTTAAAACTCCTCATTACTTATTGATGTTATGATTGTTCAGGCTAATGCGATCCGCAAAACTACCGTACTGGATGTAATGAGAAGACTTCTGCAGGCAAGATTGAATCTTTGTCTAATGAAACTTTTTGCTATGTTTATACTGGCTTTGGATACATTCTTCTGAATGTTAACTGTCATGGACTTACCAGACAAAGAACATCATGGTTTCCTCATATGCTCGAACAAAAGAAGCCAGCCAAGCAAAATACATTTCAATACTGAATATCATTCAAGGGGAAGTAGATCCCACACAGGTAATTTATTCACGTCTTTTCTATTTATTTTCACATTATTAAGATGCTTTGTAGTCACTATCAATCCCTAGCTTTTCAGGCATCTTCTTATCTTTCCCAATTTGTCTTGAGGAATGCTAAGAATGTGGTTACATGCACTTTCAGTTCACTGCTAGATTATCCATGCAAATAAACAAATCAGAAATGTATATGTGACTGCATGTGGGCAATTTGTTTTATCATGTTTGCCATAATTACACATGCTATTGTTGGATATATATGATCAAAGCTTGAGAAAAGTAATGAACAATGATAATAGAAAAAAGTTATCAGAAAAGTCTTGTGCGTTTTGACATATGTTTGCATGAGTTGATCTCAGAATCTGCCTGTGATCAACAACTTAGGAGTGTTATGGCAAGTTTAGACTGCTAAATAGGATCTGTACTGTTATCTTCCTCTGCTCATACTGGAACATGCTGCAACTTGTTTGTCTTTCACTTTTGGATCCCGCTCATGTAGAAAATGCCATCAAATCATGGCTATTTGGTAATATCCAGAGGAACTTATACTATAATAGGAGGAGGAAGGATTTCCCTTTGGGCACGTTTTAAACTGACCCTTTCAAAAAAGGCTGAGTTCCCCCTTGAGAGAGAGAGAGAGGGAGAGAGATGACCCTCCAGCAGAGTAGCATGTTCCCCACAGTAACTATACCTGTTGCCTCCACCAAACACCGCCCCAGCCAAAAAAGAAACAACAAAAAATCCCTAATCCACCAAAAAGCTTCCCACTACCAAAGCTTTTTCAATTACATTTGGAGGGCTAAATCCGAACTACCCTACCTAATTTGGTCAACAGATTACTGTTCCTTCTTGCAAAGCTAACAGACAACCTACCTTCCCTATACAGAAACAACTCTCTGCCTAGACCTACAATGAACACCATGCCTAGCCTAAGAAAACTCCAAATGAAAAACAGGAATCCCCAATAGCAGCTTTAAACCAGCAAATCCATTTACCTCTTCCTAGACCTTTCCATTCCTTTACCATGACTCCAAGGGGATATATTGTCTGTGATATACCTGAAAATATATTGTTACTGTTTGGGTAGTATCTAAATGCAACCTGAGAAATACATTGCTACTGTTTGGCTGTCTGAAAGAAATTTTACCCGCACTTGCCTATAAACTATCACTACTTTCTTTTTTATCACAAAATTCCACTGAAATGCGGAATAAAAGTCATCATCACACATTTCCAATAAGATTTTCTAATATTGTCATCATCACCATTCAATCAATAAAATAAAAAAATAAATAAAAAGATTTTCTAATACTCTCATCAGCAGCACAAAAGCTTTTGCCCAAAGAGTAATCAATAAAATAAAAAAAAATTACAATTGAGAATCTGGAGCTTAAAAATCAGATCTGACAAGGAGATATATTACTAGATAAAGAGGAAAACTAACTAAAAAGCATATAATGCACCACTAAAGACAACCATGTATTCCATTGTTGATGACAGCCATTAAGAAGGAATGACAGCCCAATTTATATCATTCAGGGTTTCCCTCCAATGTTTTTCTGGAGCAAAAAGTTATGCCATCAAATATTGCTGAGTTTCATGAATGGCTTGCTGAAGACAGAAAAAAATACTCAAAAAGAACACAAAAATGCGTTCCTAAAGTTAAGATGAATGGCTTGCTGATGACAATATCACCTATATGAATGAATCAATTGGACAAATGTTGATGACTTACATTGTAAACTAAAACACCAAAAAACTATCAAATGTTACAGTTACATAGCAAAACTACACATAAAATTAGCAATCTAAACTCAATATACATCAAAAAATCCATGAGTTCTCAATAATACCTACTTAGCTTTGAATGGTAAATGCACTAGAATAGATTTGCCACTTTTTTTTTTTGGGGTAAGTTAGTGGAGGAGAAGGCCCTCCACCCGTTTTTTAATTAATAAATGAGTAGAGAAAAACAATTAACGTACAACCCTATAGTAGGGTAGTTGCGCTAGATTATATAATAAAAGAGAGGACAAAAAATCCGGTGGTCTATGGCGCCACACTGTAGCACCGGGGCAAGCAGATGCCCTCCCGCTTAGCGAGGGCATCAACAACCATGGTTGCCTTCTGAAAGACATGTGCAATGGACCATCAATGAGAAGAAAGTCTAGTACAACAATTATCTGCAATCGTCTCTAGCCGTCATGGACCACGGCATCGATTCTGAATGACACCCACAAGTAAGGCCGAATCACTTTCAGTTTGTATTGAAAAGCAATTCCTCTGATGAACCAACTGAACTCCTTCAAGTGCCAAGAATTCTGCATGGTTATTAGAAGCAAAATCAAAATGCTTTGTAAAAGCAGCAATGAAACCATCCTCTCTGTTCTTGATGATTCCACCACCACCTGCTAAATCTGGATTTCTCAAGGAAGCACCATCAATATTGAGCTTGTAATTTTGAGCCTCAGGAAATGACCAGGGCACTGGAATAAGGGATTCTAACCTCTGTTGACGCCAAGTTACCTGAAGATTATCAATTATGACCTTTTTTGATAAATGGAAAGACCACTGTTTAACTTCTGCTAGTGCCTGAACATGTAAGGTAATCTGTTTCACAATAAGCTTTCCTTCCGTGGGTCTTGAATCAAAGATTCTTCAATTGCGCTCTTCCATAGAAACCAAATAGCAGTAAAAAAGATGGAAGACCAAATATTGCGAAGCCCATGAGATTTAAACCTGAAAAGTAACTACCACCTAAGTCAATCAAGGACAGAAGTACCGAGGATAAACTGTTTTCCACATCTCCAAGCTAATGATCTCCATACATAGATTTGCCACTTACATGAACAATGCTACCATATACAAAGATAAAAAGAAGTAGACAATTACTCATTACAAATAAAAGAAACCCATCTCACATGCATCAGATGTGAATGCACGCATATAATTTCAAGCTAATGAATGAAAGGGCATTTGCACACAGATTCCATTTATGGTTGTGAATAGAAATGAGAAGCCAAAAAATATTAACAGAGCATAATTAACAGAGCTGCAAAAATCCATTTCATAATTAACAAAAATTCATTTAAGCCAGTGCATAATTAATAGAGCTGCCAAAATTATGAGATCAATATGTTGTAAAATAACTATTTCAGTGCATAATTAACAATCTTGGGCATAGTGGAAACAAGAAGTAATGAGCTGCAATAATCATCCGAAAATAAAGCATCCATTTCAGCCAAGTGTATGTAAGCTCAAAAAGACTTGGACAACTTCCCCAATTTACCCAGATCCCATTTATGGTTGTGACCACCAACTCAATCAAAAAACTCATAACTGGTGATGATGCTTTGCTAGGTTGATTTTCCCAAAGAGAGAGAGAGAGAGAGAGAGGGGGTGGACTTAGCTTATGCAAACCAGTAGTTAAGGCTAAAGAAGAGAGAGAGGGATTAGGGTTTACCAGAGAAGAGAGATGGTGATGATGCTCTGCTAGGGTTTTGAGACGAGCTTGAGAGAGAAGAGGATGTGCAAAGTAGAGATAGAGAGTGAGAATGGTTTGTATTGGAGAGAGAGAGAGAGGGCTTTAAAGACAGAGAGGAGTTAGGGCTTACTAGGGAAGAGAGACAGTGATGATGCTCTGCTAGGTTTTGAGTCGAGCTTGAGAGAGAGAAGAGGATGTATGCGATAGAGAAGGAGAATGGCGGGAGATACGGCTTTTTCTTTTTTTTTTGAGCAAGAGACGTGCATAGAAGATTATACGTCAAGCACATAATGGATTTCACAACCATCCTTGTGCGTAATAGATTTCATGTATTTTGGAGAAATCTTATGTAACTAATTTCCATTTTTTTACTATTGAAGTGTATTTAAACACTGTAAATGTCATATTTCCTTATAATATGTTTCCCTGTAATAGATTTTCAGGTACCCAAATGGCCCCTAAGTCTCTAACCCATTCCTTTAGTAGTGGATATAACCTTTAAATCTCGCTGGGGAGCACATCAGTAGTGAAAGGGAGTCTCTAACACAGATGGCTCCCATAGGGGTTTTTGATCCACCTAGAAATGATTTAAAGTGGATCAATGTGGGCTAAGAAAACTTGGTCTCAGCCAAAAGTTTGTACATGTTTAATGCATGATGGTAGCTTTCTCTTGTCCTTTCAATCTCAAGAAGAAGCCCTCTGGGTTTTGATGTTTCCCTGCCCTACTTTCCAAGTGCCTGCCTTCATATGCAACCTTGATACCCATCCTTAGGCACCTCAATACGCCATGTATATTGTCAAGATCTTCAAAGAGGTGGGTACCGCTATGGTGGTTTTGTAAAGGTGAATTGGATGCTCTCTATGTCTCTCTTATCTTTCTTCTTATGCTTCCCAAAATTCTCTATCCTTCATCTGAAAACTCTATTTTAATCCTCTTCCTCCCCCCTCAACCTATGTTAATTGGATTCCTTGACAAGGGTCCCCTACCCATGTTAGAGATGTATGGACATGCGTAGCGGAACAAATTCTTTTGGATTCTCAGCTGAATTGGGTGATTTCAGGACAAATTCTTCTGGATTCCCATCTTTTTATTATATAAAAAAAAGGAGTCCACTCTAACTAGTATGTTCATTCAAAAAAGAAGTATGAGATTTCTTTGTCCCCACCCTTCTCCCCCACCTTTTCTTCCTAGTAGCTGGAACGAGATCTATAACCTCTACCTTATAACTCTCCCTCCCCCCCCCTCCCTCTGTCCTTTACCCTCTTCCTACTCCCCCTCTGCTCGCTATCCCCTTAAGGCCTTTTTTTCTCAGGTGGTAGCCTCCACCAAGTCAGGCCCTTCCGCCTGCAACCCCTCCTTGCAACCGTCCTGCCTCCGGTTTTCCCCTCTTGATAGGCCTGCCTCTCTCCCCCTCTGCATCGCCATCCCCCCTGAAGAGAGCTCGAAATCGAAGCCCAAGCTACTCCCGTCCCTTGTAGGTCGCTTTCAGCTCGTTCGCCATAACTTCAGAGGAATT